ATGACCAACACAAAGCGGGGGAGGGTTCTCTCCGTCTCATACCTTGCTGCATATGAGAATTTCTGTTTAAAAAAAACGTGTGGGTCCCCTACCCCATAGTTCTAGGTGTGCACAATCATTTAATGCCAAAGTTGACTTGTACTTTTTGAGGCCCTTGACTATGTTATCAGGGGTATAATCAGGCTGTGACAATACACGCAGTTACAGCACTTTTACTGTTTATTTCTGTTGCACTGGAAACAAGAACCAGACCAGCCTGTAATGAATGGATCTCAGACTTTATTCCCTTTTAAAAAAAAATGTAGGGGTGTGAACCCCCCCCCCAAAAAAAAAGAAACAGAAGAATAAGAAAACAAAAAATCTATGAAAAGTAAATATTGGATTTGATTGGAAACCAAAGAATGAAAAAAGATGATATCATATTGTTATTTTCAAGGGTTTCATGTATGCATGAATGGCTAGGGGAATTCCCAACCTTATGTGCTTGTAGCTTGGCAATGCATATTGTACTATAGAGGTACATGTACATTGCCAACATGTTGTTGTGAATGCAGTCTTAATTCAAATGTCACTGTGGGTCAACCGTGATTTCAATCTGCAGTTTTCAGGAGGAGAGCAGTGCCAAACCTCTGTATTTCCCCCTAATGTGATGCCTTTTTTGGAATTTCTGGCAGATTTTCAGGCATGGGAATCGCTCTCCCATCCAAGCCTACCCGACAGATCCTTACCAGGAGGACAGCTGGCCGCAGGGATTTGGACAGCTCACCCAGGTACATTGTACTTTAAACAGACTGCTTATCGTGTTTCACCCCTAACATTGCATTGCATTTCTACTACACCAGGCCTTGTGCTAGCTTTTTTTCCAGGCTAGCCCACTGAGCTAGTTCAATGGATATTTTACTTGCCCATATTTAAAAAAATGTTAAAAACCCAAAATTTGGTATCAGCTTACCAATGCAGAATTTGACATTTCGGAAAATAAAAGGCTGATGGTATAAGTAATAAAGAGGCGTGTATGTTAGTTAAAAGTCACTTGAGTCACTGGTCACGGAGCCGGGATCAAAATCATCTCCTTGCTCTGTCTTTCGTCTCATTTGGGTTGCTTACGTTTGGCAAAAAATGCTACTTTTTGCTTACTTTCTGACCTCTGCACGTGCGCGGTGAACGAGAGAAAAATTTTTCCAATCAGAAGAGGGTGCTGTTTGCACACGGCTTTGTGTATACTTCGTATCAAACGCTTTCAAGGACTCCTGCAATGCCCAGTATAGCTAGCTGTGGTCAGTTTTCGGCACAACCCTAACATTTTTATTGGCAAGTTAGAAAAACAAATTTACAAAATTTAAAAAAACAAAAATTAATGCCAATGTCTTTTCTGTCTTCACAAAACACCATTCAACAACCCTTTCTCATGTTAAAACGCTTGTATTTATATGTTTTCTTACTTCATTTGCATTTTTTTAAAAGAAACTTCTGTCATTTTTATCGCTGTTTATTGCCTGTCTGGATGCATCTTGTACGTGTACCAGGCGATATACACACATTGCTGGCCAGTTGGCCGTCGTGATTACCTGACTAACATTGTGTGATTTGTCCATAATTCTTGTAATCTGTCGACTGCAGAAATTTTACATATATCAAGAAATGTTTTTATCACTGTTTGAGAAAATATTTGAAAGCTTTCCTCTGCATTCAGGCTATTACATCAGCACAAAAATTGACCTAACAAAATTCAGACCTACCGATACTATTTTTGAGAGGCATGTAGTCAGAAGCAGAAGTGGCCTAAACAGTGAACGAGAATAGTGTGCAGGTGCGGTATCGCACCGTACCATGTGCTACGCTATACCAGTATTACAACCCACCAGTCAACTCTGTTCATGGCGTTCACGGTCGCTTATCGCCCTGTCGCGCGAGCATCACGTTTCAAAAACACACGTAAAAACACATCCACAACAACTCAGTTTTTGCGATCTTGTATTTATTATCACGACGAGCATTATATATTTTGATCTAAGTTTTAACAGGTAGGCTTATTCTGAATTTTTCACTAGCCCACCGGGCAACCAAGGAACCAAGCTTACATGTACATGTAGGTAGCCCGGAGCATTTTGTGCTCGAATTTGTACACTGGGCTAATACTTTTTCGAGGCCTGTACACTGTAGTTACCCCACAAACATGAGTAGAACACCAAACAAGTGGTAAAGGAACCTAGGCTTGTTGCATTGTTCTATGTTCCTTGAGAGCGAGAAGATAAAAAATGTATACAAATGCCCCACTTTCACAATCACAGTGAATTACACTTTGATGTTAAGGGGCGCTATAACTTACCTTTGGGTTAACCCAGTTTGTGGATTGCGATTTTTGGACCTACATGTACAGTAGGTACATGTATGTGCTTACATTATATCATGGTTGTATGCCATGGATGGACTAATCGCGATCAAGGGTTCAAGTTTGCTTGGAAATCATTGTCCTTATTGTCCTTCCCAATCACGAACCCCATAGAGTGCTCAGGTGCTTTCAGGATCTACGGAAATTTACATTTCATCATTGGAGTAGAGTGCGTCAAGCATAAACACATGAAAATCACATGCGCAGTAGTGACTGAAGGGGATTAAGCTTGCGCCATGTTTTCCATTCAATCGATAAAGAAATTACAATTCCACCGATAGTTTGAACGTCAGATTTGGACATTTCTTTCAAAGGTTTGTATGTGTGTGATTGTTTTAAGAATTATGAAATGTCAGTGAATTCTGAGGATAATTTTCATTGGTTTTGGGGATGTTCCGGTGATGTCCTGTGATGTTTTTCGACGAAGTTCCTTTGTTTCCTTTGTCATTGGTTTTTGTTGGATAGTGTTATGATCTACATGTATTACACAATTGTATGTGTGTTTTCAAAAAGCTTTTTTGTGGTTTGTCCAAAATGTCTTAGCGTTTTTCCCCAAAGAAAATATACTCAAAACTTGGCTTATCTTCTTTTTTTTTTTTGACATTTCAATCAACTGTATTTTAAGGAGGATTTTGGCAGTTTGACCAAGGTCTTAGCCATGTCAGCATACATGTACACTGTAGGCCTACATTTGTTCATGTACATGTAACTTGCAGGCTTAGGGCTACAGCTGTCAAGCCTTCATACAGTTAAAGACACAACCTTTTCTTTCCTTTCAAAACAGAGGTCCTGGCTGTTTCCATGTCATGGATACATGTATTCATCAGTCAAGCTGTATTTGAGTAGATCGTGTGGGGAGGCTCGGGCCATTGTTGAAGGTCGACTTCCCATTCCCAAGGAAAAGTTTGCAAGGCAGAATGAATCTGCATTTGGCATTGGTGTGGGGGATGACATTGTAAAGCTTCATCCAGCTTTCATGTGTAAAGTTTCTAAGGTAAAGTTGCGGCAATGGTGGCTGAAATTCAGTGAGAAGAATATGAAGGAGGCTGTGTGTAATATTCGACTGGCTTCATTCAACCAGGCTGAATGAGATGTTTGCAGGAAGACAACGTGCACCACACCAGTTTCTTCACAACTTGCTGAACACAAGGCACAGGCACACAAATACATGATTTGTTGCCATTGTTTACAGGTGTTTGCCTCCAGGTCATGAAGATAAATTCTGATGGCCATCCAGTTGTTTTCTTGTCAATCTTTCAAATTCTGTCATGGATCTCATAGTTGCAGAGGTCATTGTTGGTGGGGATTTGTTTGGTTTGGGAATTCCCTCTGAACTTGGTGACGATGATTGTGGACGGTTGTACCAGTTCATCGCCAACAAAAGTGTTTGTAAAGGTAACAATGACATTGAAGAGTTGGTGGATCAGAAGAATGGGGCCGGATGGGCAGATTCCCGTTTATGCCACTCCTCGAGATGTTGTAAAAGGCGGCAACATCTGACATGTGAGTTTCCATCTTCTTGTCTGAACTGACCTCAGAAGATGCGATGTGTGTTTAATTCACAGAATTGATTTGTCATTTGTCTGCTGTGCTGCATTGTATGAGAAACAAGAAGGGAAGTGTGGTGACTGCTTCGTTAGAAATTCTACACAGCAGCATGTCTATTGAGCAACTGTAGCAAAAGGCAGAGAATATTATGTCCATAGTTATTATCTGTTTTTTTCAATCCTGAGGTCTATCTAGTCTTCATACTCGAACCCTAAATACTCAGTAATAACTCACAGTTCTGCCTCTTGAGTCTTGAATCCAACACAAACAATAATGATCACACAGTTCATTCCAGATCTACCAGAATCATGAATGTATTTAATGAAACGGTTTCTCAAACAAACATCTTGGTGGTGAAAATAATACAATTTGGCTTTCAGAGTTATTTGATCCAGGTTGACTTACATATACATGTATGTACGTTCAATCAGGCTTTCATTTAGGATTAGGTAAAAGATGGTTTGAGATTGTCGCACTCCATTCTTTGTCTGTCTCGCACTTGTGAAAGATCGCCCCATGATCCTTTGCCGTAGCATGCTCCATGTGCAAATCTCACTGCCGAGAGTTCAAGGTACATGTATCTATTAAAGGTTACATGCAAATGTACGATGTAAACAAAACAAAGGTTATAATTAGTATTTAAGAGTACATGTATGAGATCTCGGGAACTACAGTGTCCAAGCTGAGAGGCGGATTCTGAAGAGAAAGAGTGCTACACTTCAAGTTTAGACTGCAGTATTGTTAGAGAGTGAGGCTGTCTCCTTGACCCAAAGCAGGAAGAGATGGTGAGGCTACAATTGATAAATGTGACAGCCAGATGATGGCAGCATTTCCTAAGGATCTCCAGCTAAACTCATGTTGGAACAACCGCGAGATTCAGCTCTGAAAGGTGAGCAAATGCAATGGCATCTGTCAATAATCTGGCTGTGCATCGTACTTCATGGGTGGTCTTCTGCTGCCTATAATTTGATGCGGGAATCAGGCTTTATGAAGCTCCCTGGTCTGTCAACATTTTCCCCGTATGGTCATTTCAGAGATTCCTCATCGGGGTTCAGTGCTTCACTGTTGGAGAGAATCTACCAAGATTTTCATCTAGATGCATGTCGTGAAGAGGAAAAAATGTGTCTCTCCTACCGGGGTATTTGACGAGGTGAATATCAAATCTGGGCTAGTGTACTCAGCAAGGCCAGGCAAAACTGTTGGCTTCACTGACATCACTGAGGTCAGTAATGAAGTGTTAATTTTGAGCGGCAATGTGAGGGTGATGTCGAGCCAGTCATGTTTTGGTGTTGATGGTGCGGGGCTTGTGCACTTTTCATGTGGCAGTGGGATATTATCCCACAAAAGGAGTGTCCAGCAGCCAACTATATGCCTGCATTTCTGAGGCCATCATTTATCTTGAATTGGCAGGACTTGAGGTCCGGTCATTGGTCTGTGATGGGGCATCACCCAGTAGGACGTTTTTCAGATTACATGGCAATGGCACATCTTCATCTCCGACGTACACCACGCCTAACCCAGCGGATCCATCAAGGAAGGTGTACTTCATCTGCGACGTGTTGCACCTGATGAAACCACTCTAAGCAATCTGGAGAATTCCGTCTACTACAAGACAAGAAATCTAATGGTAAGCTTTATAAGTGTACTGGTAAGTTTACAAAGCTAGATGTCATAAGATTTTCCACTTCACGCTGATTCTGTCAACCATGAATGTCAAGTTTGTTCATAGAATATTCCATGAGTTTATTCATAATCTTCCGATGTTAGAAAATAATGTGCATGTTTATTATCTAGGAAGGTTTATCCACGTTTTAAAGTACTGTAATGTAAAATTTTAGGCTTATGATATTTCAATATTTTGTATGTACAGTATGACAAGCAGAGCCTCAGCTGGTCTCAATTCCTGCAATTATACGAATGGGACGTTGGCCTGATGAGAAGTTCAGCGGGCCTCCGCCATCCCCACAAGATCTCTCGAGAGCATATCCATTTGACACCATCATTGCAAATGAGGGTGTACATGGCAGGTCAGGTAAACAATGTTTAAAACATGTTTTATCTGCCATGAAAGATTTTGGCTCATTAATGATTGCCTTGTAATAAAAGTACATGCAATGTGTTTTTACTTTTGGATCATCCTATGATATAATGTTTGCTCTGTACAATTTCTGCAAGTGATTTGCTCAGATCTAATACCGGTACCGGTACCTCCAAATTAATCATTGAAAAAAATTAGTTGAAATCTTATCACATGTAAACTTGTTACAACCCTTTATTGAAAATTAAGTCTTGTGATTCCATTGAAGATGAGGTTTTTTTCTTGTAAAAAATAAAATTTTAAGTATAAACTTGTACATTTTCCTGTCATTGTTGCCATGAATTCAGGTATTAAGTTCCACTGTTACTACTCCTTGGAGTCAATGAAACCATCTGCAACTTCATCCACTGTAAAGTTTATCAGGCTGATGGATCAATTCTTTATCTAAATGCGAGCAACCCACTTCAGGGAATGCAGTCACGCAAAACTGCCCTAGACCCATACACGAGTATTGAGGACTGGCGTTTCAAGGTAATACATGTTTCTTTTGAAATGTGCTATTCCTTTTACATGTAGCTTTGATACTGATCTCCATCAAAAAAGCCTGGCAGCTCCAGGCTGTTATCAGGACACGATTGCCCAGACTATCACCTCCATAGTAATGGAAGAAGGGCAAACATGACTGATGAATTTATACAGTCATTTTGGAAGAAATTTTAATTTGTCATAATAAGCCATTTTAATTTCAAATAATATGGAGATAATAATTCCAAATGAAAGATTCCAGTAAGCTCAACAATTCAAATGTGTGTACCGTGTGGTCAATGATCAGACGTATCCGAATTCTGACATGGAGCTGAGTGAAAATTCCCCTCTCTCCTTGCATTCCCATAGAAATGCTTCATAGCGTCATGCTCCAGCCATCAAGGTTATAAATTTAATTTTGATTCAGTTTTATTTTCTCTCAGTTTCTGAAGTCCCCTCATTTGTGGAACTTGCAAAAGTTCTGCTGAGTTCTGGTGTGAAGTACGTCCTCAGTGAAAAGCTAAACCAGGACCCCTCCGAGGAGTACTTCAGCAAACAGAGGGCTGCAGGGGGAAGCTGGGACAACCCAACAGTGGAACAATTCAGACACAATATGCTTTCGCTGTGTGACGCTTCTACTAGTGCAAAGGCTTCCAAGCAGGGAAACGTGCACAAAGGAAACCAGTCTGAAGACACCGTAATAGACAACGCACCACTCCCCCCCCCCAAATAAATTTGTTCATGACATACCACTCAATTAAATGTGATTGTCAGCATTGTTGTTTCATAACAAGAGTTCTCATGTACCTGTACATACAGTCATGCAGGTTATGTATTGTGCTCCGTCCAAAGATCATCTTCTGAGGAATGCCCGAGACAGAAAAAATAAAAGAAACATTAAACAGGAGATACCTGCAAAATGAGTAAATTTTTATTACTGTACATGTACCTCTCATATTGCCTTTGGAACATCGTATTTAATCTAGTAGACCATTTCAACAAATGTATTGTGCATCATAATTATGTGTACACTGTGGATGCAGAGGCTTTGCATTAATATGGCTTTGACAGTTGAAAAAGATCTACACATGAAACTACTTCCGTGTTTATTTGAAGAGTTAAACATTTGTGACACAAGTTCGCATGTTCAAATCTGGGATGTGTCCCCTGCAAGTTATGCTGTAGACAGTGCCTTATCATCTTTTGAGGATACTCCAAGCAAAAAATACCAAGGTTATAAAGCGCAAGTTCTAACTTTGCACAAAAAAAATGTAAAAGTTGCTTTGGTTTAAATGTAAAATTATGGAACCGTAAAGGGGGCAAATAAGTGACAGCTTACACTCATTTGGGCAATGCAGAAAGAGAATTACATGTATATGATGTTTAGTAAAACAGTTAAACCAGGCATGCAGTAACAGAAATTGACCCACGATTTATAACATGCTCATTGCCTAATTTTAATATGTACAGTAGACCCAGAACATGAAAATTGTGCATTCACACAGATCAAAACTTTCATGTTGTCTTGCATGAAGATGTACATGTACAGTGTGTGTACTTCTGCTAAAGGTGTGTTCCCGGCTGTGTTTTGTGCTCAGAAGTTTACTGCGGCACCTATCCCACTTCTGACACTATTTGTGGCGTTCCAAGTTGACGACACCCGGGCTTGACCCGACGAATGGCTGTGGAGTAGGCCAGGGGTGCAGGTCCGTTCTGGGGAAGTCTACCGTCAGGTGGTCGCAGCTGCTTCCGGTCACACACACATGAACGGGGTTTCAGGACAGCACAGGGAGAAGTAACAATTGGATCCTACGCTCTCCACAGCATTCATTGAACAGAAACTAAACTTGCTTATTCTTTATGTGTGTTTATTCAAATCACTGTTAAAGGGCACCTAGGCAGGTTTCGGGCGTTTTGATCAGCAACCAAATGAACAAACTGTGTATGCAACTGACTAGATAAATTTATGGGACTGACATGAGGGGCTTGCAGAAAAGACTCGAACACTGTTTTGATATTACGAAAGATGAACACTATCACCAACCAAGACTCTCCAAGTAAAACGACTAAGACTACAGATGCAACGAACACCTCATGTGAGACTGACTTTCCCGCCACCACACGCCGGTTTATATAGCTGTGCGGTCCAGACAGGGGCTGTGCGACATGCCCGTATCTTCCACACTGGAAAACGTCTGGCAGCCACTCAGCAACGCAACTACGTCATGAATTAATAAACACATAAATCCCAGAGGACGCCTTACTGGTTACCATAATTTTGCTACAATTTCATCATCTCCTTCAAGTCCCTCTCCCATTTATAACAGCACCTGTTCGTTCTCTGCATCAAGAAATAATTGTAAAAGAAATAAATGCACTCTTAAAAACTGACAGGTTTACAGGTACAGTTTTTAAGTCAGGCTTTTTTTTTTTAATTTTGCCCTTTTTTGATGTACAGTTAAACTCGTTAATAAGAGCATGGAGGTTGGTCCTTTGCAATTTGCAGTTACCCTTTTATAACAGGAATCTTGTATTATCATGAAAGGAAAAAAAATGAAAAACAAAGGATTGGGACCTACAAATTTCTTTGTTATGAGTAGAATCTTGTATTAACAGTACTCCTATTATTGAAATATGGCACAGATAGGAACAAAGATTTTACAAAAATGAGCTTTGAGGTTTTCTGTTTTTTATCTACACTCATTTTTGTGTACAAAATAATCACAGTTTGCTCTGCATTACACATACACAAAAAACATCTCAAAACATCCCCACTTCAAATCGTTTTGTTTTTGCTTTGCAGGGTCAGATGGAATCCAAACATATATCAATATATTTCTTATGACATCCTCTTCAAGATAACTTTAAAAAAATACAGAACAAATAACTGGAAATTTATTAGCCTCCTTAAGTCAATACCATCCTACATGTACTTCACAAACTGGGGACATGGAGCATGTGGGCGCGTGGCATGCATAGGGAGAGAGGTTGGCGTAGATCTCTGAATCAACCGGCATTATTCCGCCCTACAACAGAATAACATTAACCATGGACTGAGCGTATAATTTATAAACACAAATGTCAAATTTCTTTCTCAACTGTTTATTACTTGCCAGACAAATTTCACAAAGCCAGGAACCCTCCAGAATAGAGGCCAATGTTAAGCTGACACATTATTAATGTTACCAGTTGATTTTACATCGACCGGAATCACAAACAAACATGTCAGTAGTAGCTGGTAGACTACACACACAGTAGCAAAGAATGTCTTCTTCCTCATCTGACCCAATACTTACATCTGAAAGCTCATTCAAGTCAGCATTGTCTTCAGAGAAATCGCTAAAATCGGACCGGTAATATAATTCTTCTTAGCTGTATGCGGCCATCTTGTACACTAAAATGCCTACAGTATTGGAAGACCTCACGTAACATGACCGGCCTTGAGCACAGACTTCAGTGCTAATCGAATTAGTTGAACAGATGATCAGTGTTTACATAAGTTATTGCCCTGCTGGTTTTACAATCACGACTCCAGAGACTGAACATTTGATCCTTGTTTCGTTCCAACTCCTTCAATTTCTACCTCTGCATGTGCTTTACTGAAGGCCCTGACTAGGCATACAATATACAAGTACTACAACACTGTCTCAGGGTGGATCCAGAACCAACTTTTCAAGGGGGCCCATTTTGTTTAGGGGAGGAGCCAAACATTTTTAAATCTTTTTATGAAACCTCTTATGTCCTCCCTGAGGGGTGTAGCTTTATTTTTTTACTTGCTTTTAGAAGGAAAGGAAATGAAATAGCCGTGAGGTTTCAAAAGTTTTGTAGGATTGAGGAAGTTGTCAAGTAAAAAAAAATGCCCTGAAAATAATGTCAAAATCTCCCCCTCCAAAAAGAAAACAGAAACAAGCTGAATACAATCGTCGATCTCACCAGGCATCAGTACAAAAGATAGAAGATGTATTTCATTTGCTGCTTAGAACAACAAAATCTATGTTGATAAATGTATGCAGCCGGTAAAAAGAATCTTGTGTCAATGATAACTACATGTATCACTAGTTTCATCCACATCCATTGTTCATATTTCTTGGGACATAAGACTGATGTATCAAAATAACATCAGTGGTTCCTTTTTTCACAGGAGCTCTAAATGGTTTTCCTGTGGCATTCAGTCACATTTATGACTCATTGACCACAGGGTAGACTTTATTCACCAGATGCCATTTTTTGATCTTGTCCCTTGAATCATACCTTGAATGTAATCTGTTATGGGGTGGCGCCAGACCATTTGGGGTTCCAAGCCTCACTTTTTTAGTTTTAAATGTGTCTTAAACTTTTAGATACATCACATTTTAAAATTTATTTTAAACATAAGCTGGCATAAATTTTTCATGACCTTTTATTTTGTTGCTGTTTTTTTTCTGTGTAACCAAAATGACAAGCAAACCTTAATTTCAGTTCAAGATGGCTGACACTAGAACGTAGTCTATTGGTGGTTGTTCCAGATAGTTCTATTGGTATTTTACAGTTGAAATGGATTTTTTTTTTTGGTGTGTTTATCAGGAAGGGATGCGGCAACACTATGACTTGGGCCAGTGGTTCAGACAGCGCTACGTGACAGACAAGAAACTGCTGAATTCGTCCTACATCCGAGCCGAGATCAAAGTCCGCAGCACAGCCTATGATCGGACCCTGATGTCGGCCCAGAGTAATCTGGCTGGACTGTACCCCCCAGAGGGCTGGCAGGTGTGGAAGGAGCAGTTGGCATGGCAGCCCATCCCCATATTCACAGAGCCATTGACCAACAATTTTGTAAGTGACAAAATCTCCGGCTGGGAGTTTCTGGCCAAGCAGAGATTCTCTCACATTATTTACATATATCCCCTCCTCCCCCGACAACTCACACACCCTAATCAGACTGAAACCTTAAGTGCCAAAAAACATGCAAAAAAAATTGAAATGAGGCAAAACTTTACTCACTGCAGCTGACAAAATTCTCAAATGTTTCCATGAGGCAGAGTGGCAAGCAAAGTTTGAAAAATTCAAGTCAACTTCCAAAGAAAAATTTTCCGCAACATCACACTAGAGAATTCAGCCAGTAACTGAAATTTCTGACCTTTGACAAAATTTGCTTTATTTCTAACTTTGTAATGTAAATTAGTGCTTTGGCGGCATTACTTCTTCACTTCTCGAATTTTAATTTGCACATTCCCTGGAAATGAAATTTCATATATCCCTCCTGAAATGGATGAATAAAATTTGAGACCACATGCACATACATGCATGCATGTAGTTGTCTTTGTTGACAATTTTTGGCACATGAAGTACTCAGATACTGGACTGGTTGCTTTGTACACAATCTCTTTTTTTTGTCTTGCATGTCATCACCGTTTCATATATTTTCCGCTTTCAACTTACCCGAAACAGTCACCACGCAATCACTAAATATGCAAATTTCCTGTGCGTATGATTCTAGTCGCTAAAAACTTGATCAACCGTAGTGTGCCCTCTTGTCCTATGATGCGTAGCAGAGCGGCTGCCATGTTCGTCCTTTTCCTTAGCATGATTCCAAAGGGATGTGTCAATTTTGGCATCTTTGAATTCTCGAGTTTTCCATTTCCCTACACATTCCTTTGTTAATTTGATCAACCTTAACATATTGTAATAAACTTACATTCCTTATTTTTCATGATTGAGTGTGTGTTTTGTGGCATTTTGTTTCTCTTTTGTGTGTGCATTGTCATAGGCTCCATTTTTTGTGTGCATTTTCATTGGCTCCATGTTGACTCTATGCTGTTCTAACACCAAGTTTTCTACATAGGGTCACCAGGGTGACCCGGGATAGTTGGGGTTCTGTGAGGTACATGTAGTGTGGCAATTCGTTCCGTGATCTACCACCTTTCTAGCAGACACATGGGGTCAATGGGGCGACCTTGGGACTGTTGGGGCACATGAGGTTGTACGGCGGTCATTCCATGGCGCCACTCTCCCCTGAAAACTGACCGGACTCGGTCTGTGGATGATCGTGTGGCATTGCATGCTGTACTTGAGATTCCGTGCTAACACTTGCTGGCAGAACCATTCCCTGTCCAGTCCAGGGTTCACCACGCCTTACTTCAGGGTCTGAGCTATAGAGCGGGCAGTATTGGAATGCTCAGTTCCCTTCACCACCACATCACATTGCAGTCAAAGGTAGTGCAGAGTGGCACTGCACTCGGAGGGAAATTTTTTCTCTGCCAGCTGGGTCTGGGCAGTGCAAACATTCGATGCCCAGCTCCCAAGCACTGAGGTCCAATGGCGGTTTCCCTATCAGCGCCTACCGTAGCTGACACCTACCCACTGGTATGGCACACGAGACCATGCGCAGGGACGGCCCCAAGCCACACATGCCAACAGCACCAACCACCACGAGCCATTTTCTTCACACATCCCTTCAGGCACACATAGGCATGATTTGGACGCTGCCCTGCCTTGGGGCGGCCTCTACAGATATAGCACCGAGCTGTGCAGGCTCATCCCTGCTTGCATCCCCGGGCAGCAGAGCCCATGGGCCTCCTACGCTGTTGTGGGTTCCGAACTCCATACATCATTCTGTCTTTCCGCTACCTGCTGGGTCTCTCTGGCCACAGTGCCCCTGACGCCGCTTCCCCGACAATACCCCAGCCCCTATCAGCTGAGTGCGATCTGCAATCTGGATGGGCTTCAAACGCTCCAACTCTTCAGACTCTACCTGCCAGTTCTACCGCCAGATCACCCACACACAAGAAGTGTAAACACTCCTTGTCTTCTTTTACGGGGTCCAAGCACAAGAAGTCTCGCTCTTCATCTAAGCAAGACATTTCTTCAGCTGAGTTTATGACAGCAGTCTGCTCCCTCTGTCTAAAATAGCCAGCCGCCTTGAGTCAAACTGCCCCAGTGACTGCTCCGGATCCATATCCCCTGCCTGCAGAACTGTACCTGCATCTGCATCTGACTTTGCATCCGCCTCTGCATCCGACTCCATTCGTCCAACCCTCGCATGATGGCTTCCAACCTTCAACCTATCCGGCTCGGGTTCCGTCTACGGTTCACACTGTGCCCCAACTCAGGGCTATGGCACAATACATGACGTCTCCCTTTCCACTCAAGCCAATCATGATTTGTCCTCACACGACAAAGACATTACCTCCGCAGCCAACTTAACTCCCTCAGAGACATGTTTCCGTCTTCTGTAGAAGGATATGATCCAGATCTTGGGCGTGCCTGCTAACCCTCCTGTGGCTGAGGCCTCATTGCACGCCTCCTTCAAGCACCACCTTGCCAGACTGGAGACATCGGCACCACTCTTCCTGGAGCTCCTGCTAGACCGTTCTTTCGTCGACATATTCAAGGTTCTTGCTGGTGCGAGACACTGGCGCCCGTTCCCGAACAGGTCAGCATCTTATTTCCAGTTCTCCAAGGACGACTATGAGAACTTTCTCGCCGTCCCTGACAGCTGCTAAAGATAAGCTGTCCTCCGATGCTCAGAGGTCTACCGGGAATATTCCTTTCAAGGACAAGGACAAGTCTACCCTTGCTACCCTTGCTAGGCTTGGCAAAGCTCCATGCCATGGCCTTCGCTGTACTGCCTTTCTGCCTCTCTACTCCGAGTACCTAGCCCATGCCTGTGAGGAGGACTCACCATATTTGCACGAAAATGCTGTGGAATCCCGTCCCCCGAAAAAAATTTCAACTTGACTTTTTTTGTAGAAATAAGTATTACAGAAATAATTTCTTTTTTCCTGAAATTGCACCTGCTTCCTAAATCAGAACCAGCACTATGATTAGTATTTTAACTGACACAGAGAAACCTAGATTTCAAGGACACGAAGGAGAAGCACAACCTGACATGACTGACAAACGCTTGGCATGTGATATGCTGGGCATGGAACTTTGGCATGTTTGGAAGACCGAGAAGCCATACCCCGCTTAGATTGCTCGTTTTTCGCTATTTCTACGTTTTCCAGAGAAACATCTGTCTCCTATCCATCAAACTGTTTCCAATTCTCGCAACATGTCATATTTTCACCAACTTATCTCTGTAAATTGTGAAATTTCTCCTGATTCTTCGTAAACACAGCAAACGCCTGTATGCTCTCGGACGGCACCATGTTCACTTTGAGCGGCACTCGTCCCTAGGTGCACAGTGGTATTTCATGAGCTCAAATTGATAGAGGGTGCTGTCTCTAACCTCGACACATTGTAAAAAGGCGAACAAAACACAAGTATTTTTGCATTTTCATACCCTTATTTTTCACATTAAAGAGCAAAACATCCGGATGGCAACAGACAAAATATTGATTCATTGTATGTGAGGTATTTATTTGAGCAAAAAGTAAGTTGCCTCTCAAAACTCTGAATGAACATGTAAGCTATGATTTCTGGCCCATGGTCTATTTATCATGAGAAGTCCAAGCCCATTCCCACTCGATGTCTGACTTACCTAGGAGTGGTTATCAACTTCTACTAGGGCATAGTTTCGCTTATGACTAATCGCATCAACAATCTTCTGGATTGTGTGAAGGTCCTCTCTTCTATTAGCTGTCGGCTCCCACCCATGCACGGCTCTGCCTTCTCGGACTGATGGCCAGCAAGGTGGACCTACATGTAGTTCCTCTCTGCAGGCTGTACGTGTGCCCTTGACAGCTTCATCTACTGGCCATCTACAGACCAAAGTGGGATTCCATTATGTAAACCTCCCTGTCCCTATAACAGACTTCATCCACCCCCTCCAGTGGTTACTATCAGTTACTATCTCATGTCGAGGCAGTGAACTTAAAGCATGATCCACTGCTGATGGCCACATCCGATGGGAACCCCATGGTGTTCGCCTCATTTCTCACCAAGAATCAGTCTGTGTCCTTCCATCCTCCTGATATTTTGAACCGGACATTACTAAACACACTGGGACCCCAGATGGCAAGCCTTGCGGCCCACTCCGAACTCTTAAACGGTACTTAGCTAGGACTAGAAAGCTCAGAGTACAATGTCGTAGCTCTTCATTACAACAATAATAAAGCCATATCGAGCAGTGACCAGAGACACTATAGCCAGGTGGGCAGTTTCAGCCATTAAATTTGCCAACCTGGAATGGCCAAATTCCCCGGACAATCAGATTCAACACCTTATCAGAGCTCATGACATCCGGGCAGTCTCGACTTCATGGGCCTCACCGATGTGTTACAGAGAGACTCCTCACATGGAAGAGCTGTCCCGACATCGGTCACATCATCGCAAAAGGGCTCTCCAGCTGGGCAGACCACCACCGGAACTACCTAACAACTTAATGACCTCGTGAGTCGCACTACAGTACCTGAGGCTTATGTCCTCTTACACACTTTCTGTATGTGGTGCATCCTCACTGCACCTCTCTCCTGGAGATAGTGACTGTTTGGAGTAGGTTGAAAGCAGAAGACTCCTCGTCCACAGGAATGTGGGAAAGGTCTGCTACTGAATACCTACCCCAAACAGTCACCTCCCTCTCATCTTTCCCCACTTTTGACTCGGACAGTTTAACACTGGAATAGAAAGACGAACATGGTGACCACTCTGCTATGCATCATGGGACTAGAGGGTGCACTACGGTTGATCAGGTTTTAGCAAATTGAATCATATGCAAATGAAATTTGCATGTTTAGTGACTGTTTTGGGGTAGGTATTCAATAGCAAACCTCTCCCACATTCCTTTGGGGGAGGATTTTGATTCTCGTCTATGATAGCCCAGTGTGACTTTGGTTTAATGTTTAGTTTTACCTTCAGTTACTTGTTACAGATGATTTTGCATGCCCAAGATTGAAGGAATTACGAGCCAAACTGGAGAAATGGCACAATGAATACATCAGCAAAAACCAAGTAAGAGAGCGTTTTCAGTGTCTTCAATCAGTGTTAATCTTTGCATTGGAACTATCATTGAAATGTTTGTATTATGTCAGAAGAGAAATTTGCAAATGTATAAACATGTTTGATGCGACGATGGTCAGGTTGTGTGTACATGTAAATGGTAAATAGATACATGTACGTGTAGTTGAGTTTCTTTTCTTCTCTTTGCTTGCAGACTTTCTTCAACTATCTTGCAGAACATGCAGGGTTTGACCCCAATAATGTCACATATTACAATTTTACAAGAATAGCAGATTCCATGCAATTTGAGGTAAGTTAGCCTACTTACATGTACACTGTACATGTATGTGTCTCAGTCGAATTAAACAGACGAAAGTAAAAAACAAAACAAAACAGAAGAAACAGGAAAAGTAACTAGCACTTTTCTCCCATGTAAAAAGTGTTGAATACATGTACTTTCATCCATTCTGCAATGTTTTGACAAATGATTTTTAAAGATGAGGAAGGGCGTTTTGCCTTCAACCTTCCTATTGTGGCGGGACAACTGACACCTTTTGTGGCGGACCAGCAGACTAGCCTGATTGGAGAACGAATGGACCTGGCCTTAACTTTATGCAAGAATGAGCAGCTGTTCAAACGCAAGGGGGGATATCAGTTAGTGAACGGTGGACTGTGCCTTAGGGGCTGTTCATTTGGTGGAAGTTTACCACCGCCCTGTACATGATTAAGTAATTGATTCCAGTGTCAATAAAGGTTATAATAGATGTCAAGGACTGGACTACATCTCACGGTGACCTGTGATTTCTAAGGCAATTATCCTTTATACACAAATTATGTACAAAATTATCCTCACGGGTATTTAGTCCTACTTGGTCAACTGCACCACAAACGTGATTAGTTAAAGAAACTTATCCTCCTACACTAGAGTAGCCCTCACAATAGCCAGGTAACCCTCAGTGACCAGGTAACCCTCAAGTCTAAATAATCTACCAATGGCTTATAACTGGTGAGTCTTGACCACACAAGGAACTACAATCTTCTTAATTATACAGCACAACAGGGTAGACTTATACAACAGTAATCTCTACTGCCTTACGAAGCAACACAGTTCCCAAACTACAACAAGGTTCAAGGTGACTACCCTTACCCACTTCAAGTTATTATGAAATAAAACATGGTCAGTCAATTATGAAGGCAAATATAATAGTCCTCAACAGACTCTAACAGAAACCTGCGCCCAGTAAACCTCAATGAGAAAAGCAAGCTCTCAGACCTGGACTGCAATCAACCGTCGCTTTGCCAACAAGCATGGAACAACAGCATGTGTTCCCTCCAGTCTAAGCTTCGCTAATTCCCCAATGAACTGGTTCCCCCCCCACAGGCTCCTTAATCCTAATCCAACACTTCTTAAATAAATGGGACTGTCGAACAATCCCCCAATCTTCAATAAGATTTCATATAATCGGCAGTTCCCGCAACTGAGTACGAGCACCACACTAACCGATCGCACCAGGCACACTTGAGGTATATCCCCAACCACCAGCGGTCGTAGGTCAGATAAGTAACGCTCAGTAGACGCCACAACTACGCAGAGCTCTTATTAGCACGCTGCCATCTTACGGAGTCCTGGCAACCCACGCAGCCAGCGCCTAGACCTAAGGTAATGCTCGCTTCTGATTGGTTGTCGCGCGTATGTTTAATGCATGATTTAGACTCACATGAATTATTAATGACCTAGAGTAAACACAAGTCTACACAGCTACCTTTTTCAGCCACACTATGCTGTTCAAAGTCACTCTTTGGGTTAGCTGGTAAAGCAGCACAAAGATGCACAGCTGTGTCATATTGTGCACTAACTATCCCTCATACATGTATTAGGATTATCACATTCTACATTGTGCTGTCCAACAACTGTGCCTCAATGTTTCAGTAAGCCAACTGTAGTTGTAGTTTCAGCAGTAAGCCAACTGTAGTGATAAGGACAGCAGAAAAGGAGTCTGTGTCATTTTGTGCTGGCAACCAACTGCACATGCACTGAAGCATTGCATATTTGTGTTGCGCACAGAAAACACATGCAAAAGAGTGACCATTGGCATTTTTGCATATTTATGCTGTTAAACTGTAGAAGGGTTAAATCACAACTGATATTTATGAACACTTGTCTGTTGTCATGTAACATCCATTGGCTAGCAGAAACCAACAAATAAACTCTAACCTCCTGGACCTTTTTGTGAGGCATCATCCTCAATCCTTCAAAATCCTCCAATATTTCTTGAACATGCTCCTTTGAGGGGTGCCTGCCGCCTCAATCCTTCAAAATGTAAGCCGAATGGACTCTGTCTCTTTTCTTGCTTTTATTACAACAACACAACTTACATGAAGTAAATGCTAGTCGAGCTCAACCAAAGAAAGAATACAATCGTATAGTAATAAATTTACATGAGATCTCCTGCATCAACAACAAGCAGTACCCTGCTTTGAATCTGAAACAGTTTTCAGTTATTGTTCAGTTCGCTGGTTCAATCACACTGCTTGGGGCATGAGCCTCCCTCCAGCCAGAAGCAGCCAACATGAAGCCTCAAACCGTCCACACCTATCAGGCAGTTGCTAAGTCCACACTGTGTGCATGTACATACATGCGGCTCTTGCACATGCATTTGAACATGTAGTTCCGGCACGTTACATCAACAGCCACCACTCAGGCTGAATGTGCTGCCTCACTTGTGAAATCCAGTGCTTAACTCAGCACACACCAACAGAGGTGAGGTTTACTGAAAGCCTAGTGCTGAGAGCCAAATAAAACAAACACCGTATGTAATGATGTACAAATGCTCTCTTTCCACAGATCAACAAACTTATGAAGTAATTATACTCCAACATATTAGTGGCATTCCGTACACATTTACTGAAATTATGAGTCCAGCCATACACCTGGAATTTAGGGGAACCAACTAAGTGACAGCTACAAATTCATAGCCAAACCCTTCCATATGCATCATGGTTGGTGACTCCTTAATATGCGTGCATAACCTTGAAAACTTTCTCAGTGACATGACATGCCATGACATGACATACATGTATCTCTCCTCATAAAAACACACATAGAGAACACACTTATAACATGAACAAGAATAACTCGTGTAACATGTCGATCCAACCACCAGAAACCCTATCAGTCACTATATGCCAAATTACTTAAAAATTACAAAGCTTTGATATAAGTTTGTCATATCTAGATTACGCTTCTTTCATGTACACATGGTCCCGATATGCATTGGATGGTATGCTCTACGTTAGCCCCCGGAACTTTGAACGAAACACAAACAGACCCATTGGCTTCCCAGGAAGGTATTTTTATCATGATATTTTCTAATAATTATAACTCACATGAGAGCCAATAATCACATGCAAAGAATCAATATAGTTTGCTGGATAAGTTGGAGATTACACCATTATAACACATTGATTTGGGATTACTATATGAATATTTTATGTCAGAACTTTTGCAAAATATCAGGAAACATGGCTGTCATCACGCGCGGTAACGCGAAGTGCAACGCATGGCCTTTATAATATCGGAAGAGGGCACGCTAAAAATAGCACAGTGGGCTGCAAAACTCCTCTGGTAATTCCTGTCATTGTGATAAAGGCAGTGTGAATGGTATCCTGGAGCAGTATGGATGATATGTATAATCTCGAAATGAATTTATGCATGGCTGATCATAAACAACACTAGGTCAAACCTACAACCTTGACACAATGCATCTTTTACAATCGGTCACACTTTTTTGCCATTCGTCCTCATTCCTCCAAAATCCTTGAAAACAAACAAAAAGATTTTGGAGGACTGAGGAGGGTTAGGGTTAGCGGGAACCGGTATATAAGCTTCAGTGCTGTGTCTGTTTTCTAACAGGATGCAGTCAGGAAGCACTGAATTCTATTTGTTATAAAGATCCTTTGGTTTTCTTACGTCAGCTTGTAGGAGCTGTTGACTATGTGTTGCGTTTCAATTTTGTGACACCAGACAAGAAAGTTATCAGTAAAATATCACATGCACAAATCAAAGTAGGAATGAGTCACTGTTTTGTATCTGGGTCAATCATTTCATTTCACCCAGGAATCTACAGCCTCTTTGTTCATGCATTACAGCTTGCTGATGGTCGGACGTTACCACTCTGGGCAACCAAAAAAGTCCTTAACAGGTTGCTACCTCTACAGGATTTTTCCTATAGCAGCGAGGCTCAACTAAGTGATGAATACTTCAGACTTTGCTCAGGTACGTGTACATTGTATAAAGCTACAAAGTGGTCCATCATCCTCAGTTGGGTAAGAGAAAGCCTGGGAACATTTTTCATATAGTTTCTTTGCAAAGGTAGAGAGATTGGTCCCTCATTCTTCACTAGATAGGGGTCAAAATTTCACTGAAATTCCACAGATAGACCACCAATCACTCATTCATTCCTAATCAGGTCAGCGAAAGACGACAGTCTACATTTCATTGAACTTAGCTCATGTAAACCACAGATTGGGTCAGTAATTCATGACAGGGTAAGAGAAAGACCACAGCCTGAGTCTTATCAAGCTTTGCTCGAGCAAAGCCGGCATTGGCCAGTCAAGCTTGATTGGTAGTAAGTTTGTGTCAGCAAAAATCAGCTCTTTCACAAGAAGTGCTTGATGTGTGATCTTTTGGCCAGTAATCCACCTGTTTCCAAGCATGTGTTTTCTTTGCTTCTACCAACAACTGGGCCCTGGGCCACAGTTGACCATATTGACCCTTTGATTTTGATGCCAAGCCCTGTGGTTACTGCTGAAGACAACAGAGACCAAATCGAGGACCCAGTCTGAATTCATTTCTGCTCAAACCGTACCACAGTTAGTTCACTAATTCATGCTGTTGCCTCATATGCATTCCATCGCACAGGTGGTTTTGTTAGTGAAATCGTCACCCACCTCAAGGATAAAATAGCAGGGACAGATTCTACAAAGATGTACATGTACAGCGCTGTAAGTCAGCTCTCTCCGTTCGTTTATTTATGTTTTCCCTTGGCATTCAAACTTTAAGAGTTTACAAAAGTTAGTGTTTCTAAAATGCAATTGTTTACCTCCATCAAGAAACCAGAACTTGGGCATTCTGTTGCTCACTTCTGTAAGATGTACTTTTTGTGTCAGGGAGATGTGAATACTCATTGTTGACGAAGGGTTTTATAAAATTATAGTTATAAGGCTATAAACAGACGAATGTGGGCATGTGATTATTGCACATGCTCTGGATACTTCAAATACTGATTACTGATACTGATTACATTACTGATGACCTGACCTTATATCACACCTTTGAAGCTTCTCAACATGTACAGACCTTTCTTTTGCTTTGCAAATATAGGCTGCCAGCTTGCATGGGCAGCCTACATGTAGGTCCTGGGAAATTTTCAATCGGTGTTTAGGAGCTGTAGTCAAAATTGAGATTTTGGATTCATTTGGTGAATATTCTTTTGTCTTTGTATTAATTATCAACCACCAGTTGGCAAATATTCAACTGTGACTTAGAAACAAGGTGTGTTGTTCACATATTTCTCCACATACCACTCCAATCTTTCATTCCAATTCCACTGAATTGTCTCTCTCTCACAGTCGTTCTCACCTTTTCTCTCACCATATCTCTGTATGTGCCAATCTTAGCCTGTCTTCAAGATTTTTGCAAATCATGGCTCAGTCTTTGTAGTGGGCCTTCAGCTTTTTAAATCCCCCTCCCCCACCCCGAGACCTCCTGGTCTACTGTGCTCTACCTACCCAAACAGTCACTACATATGCAAATTTCCCATGCGCATATGGCCATTCGCAGAATAAGACTTTATCATCTGAGATGCCCTATGACCTCCCATTATGCACTTCGGTCTCGCCGCCATAATCGTCCTTCTTTTCTCAGCGCCATATCGCAATGGATGTGTCTTTTAGACATCTTTGAATTTTTTGAGTTTTCCGTAATCCAGCATACCAATAGGGCTCCTCTTCCCCCACCACTCGCAACAGCTTCCGGCTGCTGTAGCTCTGCTACATGCAAGGCCACATCCTCGGTAGCGCCAGCCGACCCGAGAACTAGCTGGCCTCATACCAATGACATTGGGACAGGTTCCCTGTGCTCCACTGGGTCAGGACTGCCTGATGTTTCGCCAATCCAAGGTGCCTCCAGAAAGAACTTGCCGGGCACCGCAGAACCCAGAGGACTACTTCGCCGCCATCCACAAGACAGACCGGAAGTTTCTCCGCTTCATGTACAAAAGTCAAGTCTATGAATTCCGGGCCCTACTGTTCGGTCTTTCAACATCTCCCAGGGTTTTCACTCGAGTCACGAAGACCATTGCTGCCCATCTACGCCAGCAGGACATGCTCATTTTCTAGTACCTGGACGATTCGCTAATCATGGGTCACACCCTAGAAGAGACAATAGCATCAACTCGTCTAACCTACGACCTTTCTCTCGCCTTGGCTCACCTTGGAGCAGAACTCAATCTCCGCAGAGGTATCATTGCCCCGACAGCCAATCGCATCGCCAATCTTCGGCAATGTGTATCCCTTTTTTGCTCAGCTCAGTCCCCCTGGCCGGTGTGAGGCTTCGTCTCCTTGGGCTGATGGCAAGTATGGTCGACCTGGTACCTTGGTGCAGGCTTCGCACGAGACCCCTTCAGCTTCACCTGGTTTCCTGTTATCGACCCGAATGGGATCCTTTCAGTCATGTGGTTCCCGTATTGGAGGACGTTCGACGTCATCTGCTTTGGTGGCTAGAAGGAAGTCACTTAACCGCCAGTCTGCCATTCCTTCGACCAAAACCGGCCGGGATAATAACAACCGATACGTCATCTCACGGCGGGGAGCCTTCCTTCCATCCTCACTAGATCTCGGGATCTTGGCCACCTGTTTTCCGGGTGAATCACATCAACGTTTTGGAGCTGCAAGCAATATTCCATGCTCTGCAATGCTTCCTACCATGCGTCAGGGGAAAGAATGTCCTGGTTCATTCCGACAATTCTACAGCCGTGGCGTACATCAACCACCAGGGCGGCACTCGATCCCCCAAGTTGTGTGTCCTCACTTGGGAGATCCTGCAGTGGGCAAGAGAACATGCAATCAATCTGCAGGCCTTCCACATCGCTAGCCCTGACAACATGTTGGCAGATGCTCTCTCCCTCGGCAAGATACTCCTGACAGAATGGACTCTTCGTCCAGGGGTCGTCAAAACCCTTTTCATGATGCTGGAGAGGCCTCACATCGATCTTTTTGCCTCTCCCTCCAACGCCCAACTTCCGACCTTCTGCACGGGATCTCCGCACCCCCAAGCCTGGGCCTCGGACTCCCTGCAGATCAACTGGTCGGGCATCCTGGGATATGCCTTTCCACCTATCTCCCTGATCCCGACGGTACTCTCCAAGGTCGAGCGTGAACATTGTCGGATACTCCTAATCACTCCATTCTGGCCTCACCAACCATGGTTCCCCAGACTGACGAGGATCCTAGTCCGTCGTCCTCTAGTCCTTCCCAACAGACCAGGCATCCTTCACCAGCTCAACTCTGGCATCTTTCATCCAGTTCCAAGGGATCTGCACTTAACTTGTTGGACATTGTTCAATGATTCTTCCGCTCGGCGGAACTTTCTTGCCACACTGCAGCCATGGCAGAATACGCCATTTCACTAGGTGGTGTGAAGAACAGACTCTGGCTCCAACTGATGCTCCTCTGAATGCCGTTGCTGATTTCCTGTTACACTTATTCGAGTCTGGACTCCAGGTTTCTACGATTCGTAATTATAGGTCAGCCCTGGCTGCCATCCACACTGGATTTGAGGATGGCTCTGATATCTCCACCAACCTGATACTGCACCACCTCCTCCGTGGAATATTCATAGAACGTCCCCCTACGAAGAAGTTAGTTGCATCTTGGGACTTAAATAAGGGTCTCTGGATGCTGGCTGGTCCACCCTTTGAACCCTTGAATAACGCATCCCTCCTACACACTAGTACTAAGGCAAGACATCCATATTATGCTTTATAGGCAAGCCACAGTCCACCGCAGCTCTTGACAGCACTTCTTTTGCCCCTCTAATTTCCCCCGTGGATTTGGCGCAGCGCAGCACAAAATTCTAGGCTGGAGCTCATTATAAACTGCCTATTGTACCCTAGTTATTGCTATGTTCATTCTTTTGTTAAAGCTACCTTTACTTTGCGTGTGTGAGAACGGCCCTCGCGTTCCTCAAACTAAAGACTCATCACGGTCTGTGCACACAGTAAGATGTTGTGGCCCTCATGGTGGCACAAAACCTGTGCAAAGAAAATATGAAGGCCCCAAAACAAGAATTGTGTTTGAACAACCGTCCATGGATAGGAAATAAAATTCTTGGCGAACGGTGGGGAAAATTAAATGTTGGGCCACTCTTCTGCTTAAGACATTTCTTTTTAATTCTCTGAAGTAGAGCACTTAAGCACTGCATTCCACAAAGCAATACTTTGCTTCTTATCAACAAAAAATATACATTAAATAATGTTTTGAGAGGTGTTTCTTATCGAGTAGAAGCATCTTTCCAGCCTGTGAGGTTTGCCGATCGCGCTATTATTTTCTTTCGATATGTGGAGCCTGCCAATACTGAACTTAAAGAAAAAAATTAGTCCTTCAATACGATGTCAGCACTCTTTGCACTAGAATTAGGGGAAGGGTTTTGAGCCCTGCCAATCACATTATTTCCATTCCAGGTTGTATCCCTCCCTATCAGAGATTATTATCACCTTCACAAATTTATTCTACCATTTCAGAGTTCTGTCACTGAGATCTAGGCAAAAACATTTCTTTAATTTTGAGCACCTCCAGCAAAAAGAATATTCCTGCCTTTGCAAATTTAAAAAAACAGTTCAACGATACTTGTGCTTCACAGATTTTAAGGGTCAGAATTAATGTTTAATTTGCTAAATGTTTAGCAACTTTTTAATTTGCCATTTAACCGTTTGACCAACCCCCCCCCAAATAAAAGCCGCCGCATGTCAGCTCTGTGTCCGTCCAAGAAGTGAGTTTTTAATGCATGTACAGTAAGTAGCTTAACAACCATGCATTTGTGGTTATCCGAGTTTATGCCGGTGTGCTGTTGTTGATGACATAGGACTTTCCAAAAATGAGAGAGATAACGGAGGGGAAGTTGTTGCAATGGTGATACTATTTCTTGGCAACAGTGGCATAACTCTGGTACTGCGCAAGTGTATCCTACCAATGGCTGCTTTACTTACAAAGTATCAACTTAGTAATTGGCTGAGGATTTACGATCAATGTATCTGCCCCCAAGTCTTCCTACAAAGATAGAAGTTTTAATTTTTTTCCCAGACAACGGAAGCCCTCTTGTGTAAAACCATTCGGCTGTGTAGTCAGCCACAAGGGTAAAGCATTTGCTGATATTTTCACTAGTAGATGCTGAATAGTAAACGAAACATTTCATTCATATTCTTAATCGTTTTACTTCTCATGAAATGCTTTTGCTGATTGCTTGAACTTCATAGCATTTGCTAGTTTTTATTCATTGATACGAACCAATGTGTGCAATCGCGAACAATTGTTCCTGTTCAACCTAAACTTCCCCAAGTCCTAGAAATTACCAATTATTGCAGGGTGGATTACAGTCCTCGCTGGGTGGGCTGTGGAGTAGTTCTTTTGTTCTAATTTTTGGAACAGTTACCAACTGACCAGTAAAGATAAATAATACGGATTACACAGCTGTAAATAACAGAAACAAACAGACGCGCAACCCGAATTGAGTGGTGTGAAACGGCACAAACTTGGGTAAATTTACAAGTCTATTATGTCTCTCTGCGCTGGTTTCCTTTATTTCCAACATGTGAGTAGGCTAGTTGTAAATGGCAACCAATGAAAACATGAACGACTTGTTTTCGGAGAGCGTGAAACCGTACCGCTTGCGTGTATGGCCGGCTAGCCAGCTGGCGGCACGGGCTGTATGAGAGCATGGATTTATGATGGGAGGTGCAGAAGCATGGCACGGCACGGTACAGCGTTACAGATTTCATTCTTGAAATATTGTGAGCGGCCCAGAGTATAAGCTCCAGAGATATTTTTCAGTGTGAGAATCATACATGTAAAGGTGCTACTTACAGTCCAAATTACGGTAGATACAGGATAGGCCTACATGTACTTTGTAATAGATTCTTAAAGGCAGGTGTGTTACTGTTAGGATCAGCTGCAGGTCCACACCACAGGTCCCCCAACAAGCTTTGTGACTTTTCCAAAACGATGAGTCAATAGTAAACTGGTTTTTTTTTCTTTCCTGTGTTTCGGCTTTGTGCAGAATTTGTCTCCAATAAAAAAGGCAAATCAGTGACAGCACGCTGCAGCGGTCAGTGTGTGTCATAAAATTCGTTCTGCAGTGAACCATTGTTGTGCATGCTTTCTACCAGTGCCGCATTGCACCGCATATCGGCGGGCTGTGGGAGGCTGCTGTGCGTGCATGTGCAGCGCAGGCCGGCTGACCGCGCCGCGCTTATAAAAATAATATGGATGTCGCACCTAAGCTGGCCTTCCTCCTTCTGGCAGTCACATCTAGAAGAGGCTGTGAATTACAAGCGCTCTCAGTAGCCGACAGTCATCTGCGCTGGGAGCCTCACTTAGTCCGCCTCATCCCCGCTGTTGGTTTTGTAACCAAGAACAAAACTCCGTCCTTCGAGCCCCTGGATATCTTTGTGCCTACGATTTCCTGGCATTCTGGGAATGATGCTGATAAACTCTGGTGTCCAGTTCGTACCTTGAAATGGGTAGTTGGCCAAGACTAAGGGTCTCAGAGGATTGATGACTCAACTGTTCATCACCTCCACGAGCCCATATTGCCCAGCAGCAAGAGACATGATAGCCCGCTGGACGGTTGCAGCCATCAAGTTTGCTAACCTTGATTGGCCTTCACAACCTGATGAGCAAGGTAATCACTACATCAGGGCTCATGAGGTTAGAGCAGTTTCTACTTCATGGTCTTACTTTCGGGGTGTTCCCATTGCAGACATATGTAAAGCTGCATGCTGGAAGTCTCCCTCTACCTTCATATCCTGCTACCTGAGGGACGTCCTGCGTAATGACTCTGTACATGGCTGGACGGTTTTACTCCTTGTAGCATGAACTCCGGCAACAAGGACAGACAACGAAGCTCATGAGGAATCCCACTAGGGTTATATTTTTACTTACATGTATCATGAGAACCTCTCACTAATATTATTACATTTTTCTGCCAGTTGGTTACAAAGGGCTATTATCTCTTTGGCTGTTGCATGCTCAGTAGCCAACCCACCACCAGTAACAGTGCCACTCTTTATATGTAGTGACTGTTTGGGTAGGTAGAGCGCCGTAGACTCCTCCCCCACATTGATTGTGTGGGTCGGGTGTACTAGAAAATACCTACCCAAACAGTCCTCTCCCGCCCGTCCTCCCCTCTAGGCTACGACTTTAGTCGCTTTCGAAAAGAAGGACGGTCATGGCGGCAAGAGCGCAGTGCATAGTGGGAGGTCATAGGGCATCTCGGATGATAAAGTCTTGTTCAGCGAATGGCGATGCGTGCATGGGAAATTTGCATATGTAGTGACTGTTTGGGTAGGTATTCTCTTGTAGACCCCGACCCACACAATCAATTATGGGGGAGGAAATCAATGGAGGTCCATTTTTTGGCCCAGAAGTTTAGAGTTTTGTCAGTTGTTTTATAGTATACATTTCAAAAACAATTCTGAAGTTTTAGATGAAGACAAACCCAGGTTCAGGATTTGGAAAATTATCTTGCCTTCACTCTAGTCTTTCTATCTCATTTCTTCTGTACTGTATGCAGTGCACCTTAGTAGCTGTTAGAAATGGGTTTTTGCTTTTATCATTTCAGCATGATGATAATGTGGCATGGGCGCTCCGATGTCTGAATGTATTCAACAATCTCATGCCTCCTACAGCGAGCTGTCTTTTGATTGAACTGTACCAGGAAGGAGATAAGTAAGACCGGGTTTATTTCATGTCTAGCGATATTTAGTTGTCATGCTGTGACAAAAATAGAAAAATGTCAAAATAGAAAAACGACAAACCAACACGTGTTTATGCACATGTGAACATGACAATGTTTATGTATAATTATGGTCCGACACAATCAGCCTTTTCACCGTGTAATTCAAAGCGTGCAGAGCACGCAGGGCCACAAACAGAGAATTTGTGGTTCGGCAGGTAGCCTTCGTGGCCAAGCAAGGCTGAAATTCTTGGAGTCGGTTTTCGGCAAGAAATTCCCACTGTCAAGGGGTTAAAATAATCATGTACTCCAGTAATTCTGTGTTACCAGTAACAGGAGGCTTCTCAACAAAGTTTTCATATAAATATTTTCAGTAAGCCAATTTTGGTTGGTACACGTATCTTCCTGTATTGACATCATCCCATTAATAGCTCCCTCATTTGTCAGAAAAGCATTGATAATTTTAAATTTCAATGAGAGTGAAGGAGTTCAAACAGTTTTCCTACATTTAGGAGGAGCAGAGATTTGCATAAATTATGTTCCCAGTAAAATATCTATGACCCTTTATCTGCCTCAATTTGTGTACATTTTTCATACACATACAGAAATGTGGACCTGTGCAGCAGGTGAGGGCCTTGAAAAAAATTCATCATGCAACCCCTAGAAATGAGCCCTTCCCTCTGCTGTGTACGATGTGGGTAGTTAGGAATGCATGCAGGCTCCAAAAGCATTCTGGGAAATACTGCAGTCTCCTGCGTTTACATTCCCCTGCCCAGTTTACATATGCAAATTTCCCATGTGCCTATCACAATTTACTGAAAAGACTTGATTACGCATACTGCCGCTTGACCCTCCACAATGCACTGCGATTCTGCCCCTGTATTCGTCCTCCTTTTTTCAGCACCTAACGTTTACGGATGTGTCTTTTATGGCATTTTCGGAGTGTAGAGTTCTTGTACCTTTTGCATTTGTGAATTGACTTGATTTCTGTTTACGAAATAAAGAGTGATTTCTTATCTATTTATTTATTTCTTATTAATACTGGGTAACTCATTCAGTTCGTAAAAAAAACCTGTTTTCCCATGAGTCCCAGTGGACAGTCATAAGAAAAGAAATAACAAGAGAGCTAAAATTGAAGCAGATGAAACTACATGTCTATAGATAAAATACAAAGAATAATTAAAATAATATGAAGAAAGAAACCTAGAAATAAAAAGTAAGCAGAGTATCAATTATGAATATTACGATAAAACATTCAAGGGAGCTGATTCTTAAAAATACTTAAACTTGTTGGGATGGGGTGCTTTAACGCCACTGACAGTTTGTTCCAAGCCTTCATGCCTTGAAATTGGAATGTTCTCTTCCCAAACTCTGTCCTTGGGTGAGGGAGACAAAGATTATCCTCCACACAATGCCTTGTACGATCAGAGCGTTGATCGCTCACGTAAGAAATAAAGTGCTAAGGTAATCTGGATCAAGGCAAATTAAGCATTTATAAACCATTATGTTAAGATGGCGTACACGTCTGGCATGTAAGCTATCCCATCCCAACTTGTTATAAACAAATCACGAGGTGTTCTTGGTGGAACCTTCGAGATGACCCTTCTTGTTCGATTGAACAAAACATTGAGATGTTGCACTAAGGTATTGGCTGCATTAAACCACACAGGGTCACAGTAGTCAAGTTGAGTAAAAATAAGTGATTTGGCAAGAAAGTTACATTGTAAGTGTCCTTACAGGCAAATATTTAGCATAAAGGACAACCTTGGAATGCTGAATCACAGTAGGTAAATCATTAACATAAATAAGAAAAAGCAACAGACCTATAGTGCCTCGTGGAACTCCAAATTGAACAAGTTGTGTATCAGAAGTGACATCACCAATTTTGGGACCTGTTTTGTCATAGAAAGGTAGGAGGTGAACCAAGGAAGTTCCACTCCATCCAGGCCCATGGATTTCATTTTTTTTGAGTAAAATAGAATAATTGAAAAAATTGTATCGAAAGCTTTACGCAGATCCTTAAAAACAGCCCCTGTTAACATGCCAGAATCAAGAGCTTTTAATATAAAATCAGAAACATTGATTAAAGAAGTGGTAGTTGATTGGCGGCGTCTAAAACCAGACTGTTGAAAAGCTAAACCATTATTGTCAAGTAAGAAATGAGAAAGCTGGTTGTAAACTACTTGTTCAAAGATCTTCATGACAATTGAAATAATAGAATTTCGGCGATAATTATTGCAATCCAGTGTACTGCCACCTTTATGAATGGGAGTTTAATACTTTGGCCAGTTTCCAGTCATCCAGAACAACTGCACTTGACAAGCTTAATTGAAAAATATAAGCCAAGGATTCAGCTGAAACTGTTGCCCCAGCTTTCAAAAAGTGGCTATAAATACCATCCAAACCATAAGCTTTTCCAATAGGAATTTTTTGCAATAACTTGAGTACTTTATATGAAGATACTGTGCTAAAAACAAACCTTTGATCAATCGTATTACTACTGTCAACAGTGAAATCACAACCCTATTTAAACAAGTTATCGTGAGCTATTCCCACATCAGCAAGCTGTTTATTAAAACGGTTAGCCATATCGACTTTCTGTTGCTCGTTTTAACTAACAAAATTCAGTACAGATTTAGTACCTGGCAACACATCTTTAATTTGCAGACTGCATTTTCTTGGCATTCTGCATATTTCTGTAAATGATCTTATTGTAATAGTCTCTCTTCAATTTATCACCCAACTTATTGAGCCTGTGTGACACAGTGTTTCTCCTACAGAAGCTCCTGTGAGTTCCGTCATAGCTTTCTTCATGTATCTGTATCACACAATTCTCCAGATTGCCACCATCCGCAAATACCAGTCGGCCTTGGCAGCTGTTTTTTGGCTTCAGCGATGGATTGACAGTCTCTGACAATGCTGCCATCCACCATCTCCTTTGAGAAATGTTTGTCAAGCGTCCCCACGTCAAACAGCTCATTCTATCCTGGGACCTTGGAAGCATCTTACGTGTTCTTGCCTGTCCCCCATTTGGACCTCTTTCTGATGCATCTGATCTCTATCTCAGCATCAAACTGGCATTCCTCCTTGAGGTCGTTACATCAAGATGCAGTAGCGAATTATTAACTATTGATTGCCAAGGGTCACATCTGCTGGGAGCCGCACGGGTTTCGCCTTATCCCAGCCATTGAGTTTTTGATGAAAAACCAGACGCTTACCTTCCGACTTCCAGACATATTCGTTCCTGACACTTTCGGGAGATGACTCTGACAAGAGATGGTGTCCGGTTCGGACTCTTAAGTGGTATCTTGCGAGGACCAAGCGTCGCCGAGAATCCCGGTTCTTCATCACTACGACACCCAGGCATCAAAGGACACTATTGCCCGATGGATGGTCTCGGCCGTTGTCTTTGCAAACCGAGACTGGCTGGCACAACATGACGAGACGACCAGATCTCACATCAGAGCCCACGATGATCAGGCCGCCTCTGCATCCTGGTCATACTTCAGAGGAGCTCCTCTAGCGGAAATCTGCCAGGTGGCTTGCTGGAGATCTCCCTCCAACTTCACCGAGGCTACTTGAAGGATGTTCTGTAGAACGTAACAGCCTGTGGCGGTCTGGACAATGTCCAGCACTGTTCTTGGATGGACAGTGGATTCTTCAACCTAAGGATTTTTTCTTCCGCTGAGTGTTCGCTGGGGTGACGCCCACCTATGTTCTATTAATAACTACACTCCCGTCACTGACCCACCTCCAGGGTAAAGTGCCACTCTGGGTATGTAGGCTGGGCAGGGGTAAGTGAACGCAAGAGACTCCTCTCCCACATTAGTGTGGGTCAGGTCTCCTAGTGATACTTACCCCTGCCCAGCCGCTCCCACCTGCCCTTCCCCACTTTGGCTCCAGTGGTTTAAATTTCACTGCTTCAAAAAGAAGGACAAACATCGCAGTGCATTGTGGAAAGTCAAGGGGCAGTGTGCATAATCAAGTCTTTTCAGCAAATTTTAATAGGCACATAGGAAATTTGTATATGTAGGCTAAGCAGGGGTAAGTATCACAGGGAGACCTGGCCCACACTAATGTTGGAGAGGAAACTGGCAGTTTAAAACAAGCTGCTGACTAACTTTGTTTCTGAAGTAATCCTTTAGACGCTATTATAGGAAAGTGTTGTAAGAAGTACATGTACATGCACATATAGTCTGTCTTGCACTCATGATCTACCAGCTGCCATCTACTGTATAATTGTGGAAACTGCACAGAGACATCTTGATTTATACACGTCATCCTGTATCAAATCAAGTTATAAGCTACGAAGACGAACCCTGACAGTGTCATTCTTTTGTTACTGCTTATTTTGGGCTGCTTCTAACCAGACTTCTGACCAACTAGTGATATGACTCATGACTGATGCATCTACAACTTGGCTGGTGTCTGTGTTTGTGCATCGCATACCTTTGTTTCACACTGCATTATGTTGTCATGTGTTCTACCCCAATAGATCTTACACGGTGGACGTTTTGTTTAAAAACAACACAAAAGAAGAGCCGCTAAAGTTGCGACTGCCAGGTACCAGTGGGCAGTGCACTGTGGATCATTTCTTCAATATTACACAGCGCTTTTTACTCACCGACGTCTCAGCAGCCTGCAAGGCCCAGAAGTCATCATATGGTAGATCAGGATTCCTTCCAAAGACATGGAACACAGGTATGTAGGTCTGTGGGTACTCAAAAAATTCATTGACAGCATCAACAAGATCAAATTATCACTTTCTCTAAATATTTACTTCAAGAATATTGGTGTAAAAAAAAAAAACCAACAACATATACAACAAACGCTCTCCTTTTCATTATATTCATTTTGAAAGGTGCAGTCCATCATTTGTCATTTACACATTATGCTCCTTTGAGGATAAAGAACTACTCAAATTCTATTCATAGAAGGGTACCGAAGAATAATCCTTATGAAGATTCAGCTCAGTAAATACTGTGTATTAGCAACAGTGAAGTATTTTGGCGGACTTTACAGGTAGCCTTTGTGAGTCATTTGTGTAAGATTTGTATGACTTTTCTTACCCTAACTTCATTTTTGTAACTCTGACACTCTTTAGCCCCACCATACCACTAGTTATACTTGCTACATCACAGGTCTTGTACACTCTGTCATCCATTTTATCTCCTACTTCCCCATCCCATCAAATATCCTAGTCTGCGTCATTCCATCATCTCATCCATTTTCTAATCCACCTCATCCCATTCATCCTCTACTCTGCCCCAAATACCATCGTCCCACCCATTTTCCAAGGTGCCCCCATCTTAATATCATCCCATTCATCTACCAGTCTGCCCCTGTACCATCATCCCACCCATCTCCTCCCCCCCTCATCTCATCACCCCATCCATCTCCTACTTCACCCCCATACTATCAAACAGGGCCATTCTCCGCTGAAGTGTTCAAAAGTTGAAAAGTTGTCTTTAACACTTGCATTTGTAAATTTGTTTTGTTTGAAAAGCCATTGGACATGAGGGTCTGTACACTTTGAAAAGTTTTGACATTGTGACCAAAAGTTGGTACTTTATGTGATTTCCCCATGTTGCCAGCCAGAGTTGTCATGTAGAACCCCCGTTCGTTCTTTCATCGTGCCCCCATTGGTTATTACCCTTCTATATTATTAACCCAGAAAGTGCCATTTATGTATAAATGCAAATCGGGGGAAAATGGTGCATGAATATTACTTGAGCTCACTAAAAGCACGTCGCCAATTTCATTATCAGATACGTTACCATTTTTAATCAACGATAAAAATCTTCACAGCTGGTAGTTAAATTTCTACTGAAGACATTAAAACATCATGCCGACCAGAAATGAAATTATTCGTACCACATAGATGTAAATGGATTTGGCTTAAAGGAAATACAGAACTAACAACTTATAAAAAGCCATGTGTTATGTATGTTCCGCACCAGACACGTTTCCTATGTAACTGTATTCTCTAGAGAAACGTAACATTAGCAGACCTTGTACAGCCTACTAGCGAAGGCTGTGCTGGTTGATGATTGTTTAATGCACGTGATGTGTAGATATGGTTACGCAGGTTTTCAAGATGAGCATTTTTTAATAATAGATGCCACCCATATACGTTACATCAGATACATTACCTGTTACATATTTACGTACATGTATAAATTGTATGCTGACGTGCATGGAAACGAGACACGTGATAAATACCTGCACTGTCTACACATGTTTATACATTTTAACACACAACACACCAGGGTGCTATGTTTTAGAGGTGATCTGACTGCCAATTTCAGTGTTCAAATTCTCATGGAGAGTTGTGAGCTTGCGGTGAGTAACATTACACAGTGTTTATTGTCATAGTATCATTACTTTGTGGAATCTGTTGATCAGAATTTTAGAAAAAAAGGAGTTTTATTCAGTGAGAAATCTTGATGACTGAAAATCACAACTGGTTAAGTTGAATAGCTGAGTTAAGTTTGGTAAAATATCTGATCAACTCAGTAACGTATCTGTTTCAATATGTGTCTTTGAGCTACATTTACATGTGGAATATGGAAAGTACATTTAAATGTATCGTTCATGCAGATACCTCTGGCCAATAGAGATGCTTCAGTGATGGTTTGGAGAGGTATGGGCGATTGATGGGGGGGGACTGGGACATTGTAGGACACTATGTACACTAGGATCATATTTTTATCTCTTTTTCGTCTATGCTGCTTTACTCATAATTTAGAAACATGATCACTAGTCGTCCATGAATTCATTGTTTCATCATGCAGCCGATTCAATTGAAATGTTGGTTTTCGGCATTTCTCGTCTTTTTTAGAAAAATTGGGAAAACATGGGCTGAGATACAGAGAGAGTACCGAGAAAGAAAGAAAAGAAAAGAAATGACCCAACATTCTTGGAAAGAGAATGACGACTGCTATCTCATTATTGTCTTCCTGCTGCTGAGTAGAAAAGATTTGAAGAAGAGGCAACAACAAAGCAAAATACACTGTCAAAAGTACAAAGAAAGGAAGAAAAATATAAACGGACAAAATGTGGCAAAACCTCCCCCTGACAATGAGATTCAGTCAGTAGAAGTTTCCAGTTTAGTTGACACTCAGCCAAGCACATCGCGCTCAACCAGAACCTCAACACCACTACTTGTGCGATTTAACTTTCCACAAAGAAACACAACAGGCAAGAAAAGATTGAAAGCCTTAAGAAAAGCCAACACTAAGGTGACCAAGTTGTCCCACCAGAATAGGCAACTGAAAAGGTGCTTGAAAACAGTTCAAAAACGAAACGAGAGACTCGCTCGTACGACAAGACATGTCCCGTCTGCTAGTGAGCCCATTTCGGAAATGACACCTAAAACCAAAACTACTGCTGAGATTGCCTTTCCAACATCAATTCGGAAAAAAAAAAGAGCTTGCAAACATACTTTTGTCTCAAATTAAGGAGACTGATAGAAAAGCAGGTGTTCAAGATAAACAGAGGGAGTTCATAAAGTTGGTTTCGGGAAGAGTTGTGAAGAAGTACGGATTCTTTAGTGCACTTCACAAAGGTGCTGGCATCAGGAGATGCTCCTTTAAAATCATTGGACGACGGTCATGGACATTGCTATTCAACAGAGTCGTGTCCTTCTACAAGAAAGATGATGTCAGCCGATGTATGCCTAGCAAATGAGATGCTATAAAGCAAGGGAACGAGAAAACACAGGCACGCATCCTGAATGACTACCTCAGTAATTTGCACACAGAGTTTTGTAGTGAAAAATGAAGATATTCATCTCTCCTTCTCTCAGTTCTGCAAAATGAGACCAGTGTATGTCAAACTTACATTGTTGCTCTCCAGAAGTACATGCTTATGCATCACTCATCAAAATATGGCATTAAAAATCAGCTATTTGCGATCCATGGGAATTAACGTGCAAGCAAACCCTGAAACAGTCTGTAAAACTAACGGAGGACCAAATGAAGGAGCTGCTACCAAAGATCTATGAAGATGTAGTGGAGTATGAGGCCTGGTAAAAGGTCGAAATAAACGAGATGAAAAAGACACAAGTTGTGAAGGTGCAAAAAAGTCGAGCAGAATTTATTGAGACAATGAAACGCGATTACTGTGCCTTTCTAGCTCATGTCAAGAGAGTTCATCAGCAACACACGGCACTGGCAGATTTGAAAAAGTGCCTACCTGCAAATCATCCTTTAGTTCAGATGGACTTTTCTGAAAATTTCACATGCCAAAATGCTGAAGAAATCCAGAGCACCCACTGGAATAGCACCAGTGTAACCCTACATCCCGAATAGGCATACTACAACCATGCCGATGGTCAGATGCAGCACAAGCACTTTGCATTTGTGTTTGACCTTTGGGACCATAGTGCAAAGGCTGTCATCACTGTTGTCAACAAATTGGTTCCTCATTCTCAAAGCTCAGGTCCCTAACTTGGAAACCATCCATTACTGAACCGACAGCTCCTCTTCTCAGTACCGCAATTGCTTCATATTTAACATGATCTGTTGGCAAAATGACCTGTTGGGCGTAAACGCTTGCTGGAACTACTTTGAATGTAGTCACGGTAAAAGTGTGTGTGACAGCATCAGCGGCACTGTGAAATGTCAGGCAGCTGAAAAGCAAGGGAAGGTTGTCATTCAAGATGCGGATGATTTCTTCTCATGGGCATCTTCGCATGAGGAGGAAATTACATACATGTACATAATGTATTCTAAGGAGTACAACAAGGCATCTTGATCGTTACCTACACTGGACTGCCAACATATCCCTGGGACAATGAAGACACATGCCGTGATTGCCGTCGACACAACACATCTGCTTACAAGGAGTGTTTCATGTTATTGTGACCAATGTCTTGAAGCGTCTGAAAGGTGTAACGGATGGGTGAAACAAACTCTAAACCTGAAGATGACCGAACCTATCGAAGTAATAGCCAATACCGATGCTACTTCGTTCCAACCAAGTCAGCAGGAGAGCCAAGTGCGGAACGGTGTGATCATGCCAGCTATTGATTACCATGTCGCTGCAATGTAGTTGAATGACTGGTACATAGGCAGGTTTGGGAGGTTGATGAAGAAGATCAAGATACAAAGATAACTTTCGTGGTAACAAGGTTGTAAGTTTAATGGCCCCATCCTTCAGATGAAATATGGGTTCCGTTTCAAGACGTTCTTATTAAAGTACCAACCCCGAGCCAGTTGGAAAATCAGAGAGATTCTTTGAGATAAAGAAAGAGACAATTCTTCAAATAATGGATCTGGTGAGAGAAAGACGTAAAATAGACATGATCTTAATTCAAATGGCATGTTCCACAACTCTAGTCAACATTACGGGTGCAAGTAAATATTGCATGATACGTAATATTTGGCAGTAATGCTGATGACTATAACATGCTTTCAGTGTTTTCGCCAGATACATGACGTTTTAATGGTACATCCGAAGACTTTCGGGTTTAGTGTTATATTTCCTGTCAACAAGACAGGTGAGGGTATCACTAATCGGCATTTTATCATACATGCAGTATGCCGATTGCTAGTAACTCTGTTGCTTGCAGTTGTGAAGATATGCCTTGTATTTAAATTGTTAGCGTTTGTTAGCATTATACAGCATTGGCACTTCGTATAAACTTGAACGTTAATATTACTAGGATGCATTTTTGAAACTTTAACAGTTATTGGAAT